CATGTACGCACCATCCTTTACCCCCCCCCCCCCCCCCCCCCCCTTCCTCGCCCCCCCGTCCCCCTTCATCTCCTTTCTTGGCTGTCGTCACTCACCCACTCACCCACCCCTTCCACCACCTGCAGTATATCACCCACAAGTTCCAGAAGCTGTTCCCGGATTCGATATCTGACGCACAGGTTGGGTTCATGGGTGGCGACTTGCCCGATCCCAGCTACCGGGATGTGTGCTCGGGTAGGACGGGTCATGTCGAGGTGGTCCATGGCAAGCTCGATACTTCCAAGGCGTCGTTCGAGGACTTGGTCCGCTTCTGCTTCTCCTTCCATGATCCCACCACCCTCAATCGCCAGCACAATGATCGCGGGACAGAGTATGCTTCTGTTTGGTTTGCCTACTCGGATGAACAGGCGGAGGTGGTCGAAAATGTCAAGTCGGAGCTGCAGGCTCTGCTTGATGATGGCACCGTGACTTGCTTTGAGGGCAAGTCGGTGGTTACTGACGTCCGTCCCGCAGCCGAGTTCTACCCCGCCCACGAAGACCACCAGGCGTACCTGGCCAAGAACCCTGGAGGGTATTGCAGCCACCGAATGTACTTTACCTGGCCGTAGTCCCCAGTCACCTTCTTTACACCTTAGACATGACACCGTCACTTGAGCGCAATGACCATCTTCCCGTTGGCGTCGACCACGGTTGCTTCTTCGCCGCCAAGCTTGGCCGAGGTCGGCAGCGGCCGCAGCGGCGCCTTGAGCCGCGCCTCCAGCTCGGCCGCCAGCTCTGCGTTCCGCTCCTGCTCCATCGCGTTGAGCGACCGCAGGCACGAGATGTACTCGGGATGACACTTGCCGTCACCGCACGGGACCGGGAAACTGGGGTCACGGCACGGGCCTCTGTTGTCCGACTTGACGCACGAGGAAATGTGCCCAAAGTTGTAGATACCGTTCCCGGCCTTGCTTCCGCAATGGCCAAAGTCCTTCACCGTCCGCTCAAAGTTCATCAGCGCAGAGAGAAGCTGGTACGCGAGGCCGACCTTGTCGTCGAACGTCACGTCTTTGGTGTCGTAGTCGATGTAGTCGAGCTGACCGCTACGGAACACAATGTTCCACGGCGCCATGTCCTCGTACAGCGGCAGCGCGAGGAACATGTCGTAGAACGCGTTCGAAATCCGCGCCAGCGGCTGGAGGCGCATCACAGCAATCAGCGTCACCGCCTCGATTGACTCGTAGGGAATCCGGAACCCGTCCTCCTCCCGCTGGAGGAAGACCTCCACTCCGCTCGCGTTTGACCGCGCAGAGAACGCGTACTTGCGCGCGTGTCCATCGAGCTGGTACTCAAAGTGGTGGTTGACCACAGTGTTGATCGCGAGCGCGTCCACGCGCACAGCCTGCCACCCGAGCCTTCGCCCGCTCACCCCCGTCGTGCCTTCCACCACAGCCGCACTCACCACAACCTCGCCTCCGCCCACACGCGTCCCCTCGCCCACAACGTGCAGTCCGGCGTCCTTGTACAGCGCCACCGCGTGAGCCTCTTCAAAGACAGCGCCTGCGTTGGCCACCGCCCCGTACAGCACCGCCTCCTCCGGGAACAGCGTGGCCAGCGCAGACGAGATCAGCTCCGCCGAGGGCAGCTCCACAAACGTGGTCAGCGCGGTGCCAAATAGCTCGCCAAGCAGCGTCTCAAACGCCTCCCGCTTCAGGGTGGTCATCGCCGCAAGAACCGCGCTTCGCGACACAACCTGGAACCGCAGAAACTCCGGCGAGACATACAGTGAATGCGCAAGTCCCGGTGTGAGCGCACGCGTCCCCACCACCACGTTGCGCACTCGGCTCGCCACAAGCGCCTCATCCTGCGCTATTGCATCATCAGTCGACGACTCGAGCGAGATGATCGTTGCGTTTGGGTACGCCATCGCCACAGACTTGACAGCCTCGCCGCGCCCAGACTCGTAGCAAATCATCGAAAACCGCGTCAACTTGGTCTTCTCGCCAGCTAGCTCGGCCAGCACCGTGCTCCCTAACTGTGACGCCGCGACCGTCACCGCGGCTCCAGCATCGATGCCCAGGCCCAGTTGCGGGCCACGGTACCGCAAGTGCAGTGGGCAAACCGCGCCGCCGACGCTTGCGCCCGCCGTCAGCTCCAGCTCAAGGTACTTGCGAAACATGACCCGCTTCAGCGAGGGATACATGCCCACAGCCTGCAGCCACGCCAGCGAGATCCCGCGACTGCTCGCGGCCCTCCCGCCCACGCCGCCCAGCTCGACGGACGTTGTCCGCCCCTCCGTGCTGCACCCGCCCAGCGCTGTCCGGCTCAGACTCGTCCAGCTCACACGTGCCAGGCCCATCACCGGCTGCGCCGGGTCGTTGCTCCGCAACGTCGCCGTCGAGCCCACAAGCTCCAGCTCGGCGCTCGCCCCAACCCCTGCTCGCGCCACAGACCGTTCTACGATGCCAGCCAGCTCGGCTACCCGTGCCCGACCGTCGCGTGCCGAGAGCAGCCCGTACGCCTGCTCCAGCGTCTCGCCGGCAGGCATCTGCAACAGCGACTCGCTCGCAAGCGACAGCACGTCACTCAGGTAATCGGCAAATCGTGCGACTCCCGCGTTGCCAGCACCACTGCTCGGTGCGAGCAGTTCTTGCCACAGCTCAACCCCGAGAAGGGCAAGCGGAAAGGCGTCCGGCAGCGACGCAAGCCGCCGCGCCCGCGCCGCGTCCAGCCGCGACGGAAAGACAAGGACACGCGAGGCGAGTCCGAGCTGCCGGGCCAGCGACCGCGCTGACGAGATGCGCTCCACCTCTTCCGGCGGGAGCACCAGATACAGCACCACAGCTTGCTCGGCGTGGACCAGCTTGAGCCCCAGCAGTGCCGCTTGGGCCCCATAGCAGAGGACTGGGACCGAGCCCTTGGGAGCGTCGGCGGCATACGATGGAAGCAGAGCTGCGGCTCGCTCCCGGACAGCAGCCCAGAGTGCATCAAAGGCCGCGTGTTCCTGGCCCGCCCCCGCCCCGCCGTCGCTGCTTCGCCGTGGGAGCAAGCCGAGTAGTGACCGCCGCGTCCCGGATGGGCTCGTTCCGTCGGGGCCTAGCATCTTCCGCCACCGCTCCTCAAGGCTCATGTCATCGCTTGCATCATCTGCGCTCGCCCGCCGCCGCGTCGTTCTCGCTGACCCGCCGCCGAGGTCGCTGCCCGAGCCGCTACGCTCGCGCGCCTTCTCGCCACTTCCGCGCTTGCCGCCAACAAGGCTCGGCTCGAGCTCGCGGACAGGATGCTCGTGAGTGGCGGCAGAGACACGCCACGAGTCAGGCAGCGGGTGCTGCGACGGGAGGAGGACTTCAGGCAACATGCTCGTTGCCGTAAGTGCCAGCTGCGAACCCTGCACATTCTCGCCCGGCGGCATGAGCAGGAGCCGCTTGAGCACAAGCTGTGCGTCCGGCCGCAGCGGGCGAAGCGCAAGCACCACGTGCAGTGGCACCGTCCGCATCACAGCCTCATCAACTTTGACCAGTAGCGCGTGCCGGCCACTGCCAGACCCAAGCCGGAACGTCGAGAATGCCTCATAGTCCGACACATTGGCCGATACGTTGTATTGAGGCGTCGTCAGTGAGAGCACACAGAGCTCAGAGCCGGCTTCAAGGCCAAGCCGCGCGCACCCGTCGGCATCCACCGTCCGCGCCGCCTCACGCACCGTCATCCGCACCATACTTGTCGAGCGGTGCCGGCCAGGTGCCGGCGATGGCGCGTACCCGTACCGTGGTGAGTACGTACGCGCCGCAGCCGCTGGTGTCGGCGCGTGCACGCTTCCGACATCAGCTCGCACGCCCGCAAGCTTAGCGGCGTCGGTCAGGAGCGCAGCCGCATTGGCCCAAGAGCCCAGAAACGGCGTCGAGTCAAACAGCCGCGTCGCAGACGGCACCCAGACAGACCGCGCGAGCGTGAGTGCCAGCGCGTACATCTTGGTAAACTCGTGCGGAAGCAGGTCCTGGAACGTGGCTCCGAGATCCGGCACGACCATCGCGTCAAAGTACACATCCGGCTGGTCGTTGAGAAAGACTAGCGTCTCTAGGAACGACAGTGAGCTCTGGGTCACTACCACGTTGCCCACCGGGCGGCTCTCGCTCACCTGCGCATCCCGCGGTGCAACCACCACAAAAAGCGAGCTACGATCCACCGCCGCCGCCGCGTACGCGTACTCGGGCGCGCCAAGTACAAGCACGCTGCCCGACGGCTCGGCTGCATCCTGCATCGCCTCCACGTACGTTGTCCACAACGACGAGAACGTGTCATGCGAGACCGAGCCGGACTCGGGCCCGGCGCCTGAGCTCGCCATCACCGCCTTGGCCTGCGTTTTGGCTACAGCGCCACGGTACAGACTCGTCACCGGCACGACTCCCTCCTTGAATGCCGACCAGATCGAGTCCAGCACCCGATACGGCCGCGGGAGGGTCTCACCGTCGACCTGAAGGCTCCCGTCCAGACCTTCAAGCCCATCCAGCCATGCCAGCGGCTGCGGCATGGGCCGATTGCTTCGCTTCGGCCTTGGCTCACCATTCATGCTCTTGAGCAGGTACTTGCCCCAAACTCGGATCCCTTGAACCGGTCGTGATACATAGTGAGATCCTCCAAAATGCTGGCCAGCGCGTCTGAGCCGGCACTCTTCCCTTCCTCAGACGCCGAGTCTATGCCCGACTCGTCCGCACCCCTGCTTGACTTGGACGATGACGAGGCCCGGCGGAAGGCAGCGCTTGCCGACCGTTTGACGGCGCCGGAGTCGACGCCCGCCTCGGCTGACCCACCACATCATCCTCGTTTTCCTTGCCATCACCGCCGCTGCTATCGGCAGGCTTCAACGCCGACCGAGACGTGCTCCCACCGCTCTTGCTCTCCTTGTGGGTCTTGCCACCCGTGTCGGCAGCATCCGCCACATCGGCCGTCTTGCTCCCGGCTCCCGTCTTGCCCGACTCAGCCTTGTCCGCCTCGTCGCCCTGCGACGCCGAGAGGTTACGGGCATGAGCCCTGGTGTAGTCATCTCTCGAGGGGACAACCTCTGCCGGAGGACGCCGCCCATCCCGTGCCGACACAGAGTCCACTGTCCGTGTCGAGGAGGAGACAGCAGCACTTGACGCCTTTGCCGATGCCTCTGTCGACGCCGTCCTAGAAGAGACCGAGGCCGCGACATGGGCATCGTGGCTGAACGAGGCATGCATAAAGGCCATGTGCAGACCCGAGACCACACCCACCGCCATCACCACATACAGCGCAAGCCGGAGCCTTCTCTGCGTGAACCCCACCATTGCACGAGTTGCGTGTTGGCCCGTTGAGACGGTCTCTGCAACTCCCTGCACCCTGACACTGTCTGAGCACCGCGTGACCTCCTCACTCCTTCTCAGCCTCCTCTACGTTTATGGACATGATCAGACTGATTCTCTCCATGCTCCTTTCTGCCACTCTTCCCAACTCACTTACCTCTATCTAACACTGCTAAACACATGCTCTTGACCTCCCTCCTGCTCACCCGATCAATCACGTTTTGATCCTGTCATGCCCATCGTCCGTCCCACTCGCTCGCTCGCTCGCTCGCTCGCTCTCTCTCGCTCGCTCGCTGCCTGACCGCCCTGGCCCTGCCGCACCACCTCCCTCCTTTACCCTGGTAAACGGGACGGGGGAGTATGGACAGACAAGGGAGACTACGACGAGCGGGCAAGGCTGAAGAGCTGAGGGCGGCTCGAGCCTCGCCGGTTGTCCGCTTTAGAGAGCCTGTCGTCGCTGCTGCTCCAGAGCCGCCGCCGCCGGCTCGGCCAACAGACCCGATGTTTGCCTCGCCGGGAGAGTACTTTGCCCTGTGGGAGGAGGCGCAGGCCGAGTTGGATGCGCGGATTGGCGATCTGGACAAAGAGGTTGAAGCCCGTGCCGATGCTGCCATCCAGAGTGCGCGCGCCGCCAGGCTCGATGCTGAGCGCGACGCTCGGTACCAGGAGGCGCGCCGGCGGGCATCGACGGGATACGTGGCGCTCACCTCGCTGACGAGGGCAGAAGCCACGCTTAACGAGATGGAGTACAAACTAGAAGGTCTTGAGGCTGCGTTTGCGGTACCCGATCTCGGCGTTGACGACCAGCATGAAGATCCGATGGCTGCGTACCTGACCGAGCAAGCGCTCGAAGACCACGGCGCTGAGCTTCCCGGCGCCCCGCATCTTTATGTGCATCTCTCGCGCGAGGAGCGGATCAAACGAGCCAACGCACTTTCACGGCTCTTTACCCACGAGTCGGTCCGTGCCTTTTACCTTTCGTACGATGAGCGGATGGCCAAGCTCGACGAGGTCGAGCAGTGGCTCAGCTACGCGCGCGAGACTGAGCCGGACGAGCCGGCGTGGGTCGCCGAAGAGCTGGAGACCAAGGCCGCCATGGAAGCACTGACCGAAGTTCAGGTCTACTACCGCCAGCACGGCCTGGAGGACTTTGGCTCGCTTCGCGATCAGTGCTTTAATCTGCTTGCGCTCCTGCATGCTGTCGGCGACTCGCCGGACCGGCTCCTGACCGTTGGCACCGTCACCGAACTGCGCGCCCTTGTCGAGACCGCGATCAAGAACGTGCTTTCGATGGACGCGTCGCTCCGGGCCCAGCTGCTTCGGGCCAACAGGCTCGACGCGCAAAAGTCAGCCATGGAGTCGCTGCTGGTCAAGATGGAAGAGGAGATTTACCGCGAGCGCCAAAAGATGCGCAAGGTGCAGGCCAAGGCTGCCAGGGACCGCTCCGAGGCCGCGCGCGCCCTCGATCGCTTGCGCCTGTCGGCCGCACCGCAGGGGCGGGCGTGGGGCAGCGGTGACGTGACGCCCGTCTCGGCACGCAACGTCGCCCAGATTGAGGCTCAGCTCCGCTCCAAGTACGAGCGTCAGTACGCAGTTGACGTCAAGAACCTCGTCAAGTACGCCGAGCAGCTGGCCGAGGCGGAGACGCCACGCGACTCGTCGCTGACAACTCCGCGCGAGAGTGGGCCTCCGCCCGAGGTGCCGACCGATACACCGGAGAAGAAGATGTTTGTGGCACACGCAAAGTCGGTCATTGCCAAGTCGTTTGCCAAAGTCTCCGAGCGGGCCACTCTGGTTGATCACTGGCAGGAGGCGCAGGAAGCTCGTGAGCGAGCCCGTGTTGCCCGCGCTAAGCTCGCCCACCAGTCACTGGTCGCCATGGACGAGCGCCGTGCGCTTGTGGCCGAGCACAACGCCGCTCTCGAAGCCGAGCAGGCCACTGTTCGCACTCAGAAAGTCACCATCTCCGACTTGGAGAACCAGATCAGCGGCCTCGAGGCCGAGCTTGCTGACGCCAACGAGGCCTACAAGGCGTTGATGCAAGAGTTGGACGATCTGCGCGAGCACAGTTCCCGTATGCAGCTCCGCCACGATGCGCTCGCCAACGCCGCCGGCGACAGCTCGGCCTTACAGAAAGAGCTGGAACAGCAGCTTGCCCGTGCCGAGTTGATCGAGGCCGAGGCCGATGCCCTCCGCTCCGGCGCCGAGGCCCGCGAGGGAGAGCTCGCTCTCCGGGTTGCTGACCTTGAGCGCAAGCTGCGTGTTCTCCGCGACGAATCCCACACCGAAGCTATCGAGCAGCGGGCTGCGTACGAGAGCAAGGAGGCGGTGTACAAGAGCACTATTCGCGAGCTCAAGGCCCAACTGCGAGCCCAGGCTTCACAGCTCACCTCTGTCCGCTCCGACTATGACCTATACATGACCGCTGACGCCCGCGCCCGCGAGCTGGATGAGCTCGCGCTCGTTCACACCTCCTCGCTTGAGGTGAAGGCGAGGAGCGGCTCGTTCTCGCGCTCGCGCTCACTCTCTCCGACCAGTGCGCCTCCCGTCCAGCCTGCCAAGTCCGAGCAAGCATCGCTCTCCCGGCGCCGCCCACTTTCCTCCCGTCGCGCAACCTCTCTTCCGCGTCGCGACGATGGGGACAAAGTGCAGCGCTCCCGGCCTCGGGCGCCTCCTGCAACACGGAGTCCGACGCCATCCGGAAGCCTGGTCGAGGCGGTTGGCTCGCTTTCACACGCGGAGCATGGCACAATGTCTCGGATACCATCTTCGGCCTCGTCTCCGACGTCTTGGTCGTCGTCGATCTCCTCGACGTCGATCGAGAGCAAAGTGACTGGGCAAGACGTCGCAGGAGCAGACGCGCTCACCTCGTCGCTCACGACGACCGCACCCCTCCACTCGGCTGCGCCATTTCCAACGACTGCGACCACAAAGCCGTCGCGACAGCGATCGCTCTTTGGTGACGCCCAGCCTGTGGATGGTGCCGAAGAACGCCAGCATGCGCACCGTCGCGACTCGGTGTCGTCAATGCAGCGATCCAACTCGGAGCGGGGCTCGTCGAGCCCTCGCATCCACCGGCGGCGGGCGTCGGTGGCTGCGGTGCCGTCACCGTCGCCGTCACGCAAGTACCCAAGTTTGGTCTCGACCCGAAGTGTGGGCACGAGCACTGGTGACCTGGCGACTCGCGTCGCTGTGGCATACGATAGCGACGACGAGGATGCAGACGCCTCGGCACTCGACTCGATTGTCCGGGTCCTCTCCGAGGGCTGGGGTGGCGATGTAACGCAGAACGAGGCCGAGTCACTATTGGCAACGGTCTCTGTTCAGTACGCGTCGATTCTTGCCGAGCGCAAAGCGCTGGAGGCTGAGCTGGCGACAGCGCACCAAGCGGTGCTTGACGCCGACAGCGATCGCGCGTCTATGGCACGACAGCTGTACACGCTGCAGGACATGCTAGAAAGTGGTGACTCGACGCTATTTGACAAAGTCCTCAGTGACGGCAATGACGGCGACGGCGACGATGGCGCGCCCATCGGTCGCGTTACGCTCATGTTTACCGACGTTCAGGGCTCGACTCGCCAATGGGAGGCTGATCCAGCGGTGATGGAGCATGCGCTGGGTATGCACAACGATATCATTCGCGGCCTGCTCGACGAGCACTCGGGCTACGAGGTCAAGACCGAGGGTGACGCCTTTATGGTGGCGTTCAGCGAGACTGCCAACGCTGTCCGCTGCGGGCTGGCCATCCAGCGCGCGCTGCTGGACGCGCCGTGGCCGGACAAGTTGCTGGAGAATGCCGACTCGCAGGTAGTGCGTGGCGACGATGGCGAGCTTCTCTACCGCGGCCTCCGAGTCCGTGTCGGCATCCACACCGGGGAGCCGATTTACGCGCGCGACCCGATCACCGGGCGTATGGACTACTTTGGACCGATGGTCAACCGGTCGGCGCGTGTCGAGTCGCGGTCTTCGGGCGGTCAGGTTGTCATTTCCAAGCTTTCGCGCTCGCTCCTGCCGGACGACTTTGACGCTCCCATTTCATCAATTGGCATCCATGAGCTGAAGGGCCTTGGCCAGGCCGAGTTGTTTCAAGTCTGCGAGCCGGCGCTCGCAGCACGGACCTTTGAGATGGATGCGCGGCTGCCGATCGGGGCCGAGGGTGCAGGCGACGACAAGCTCCCCCCGACTCCGTCGTCTCCAGCGCCGCCGCCGCTGTCGGCGTCGGACGCCGACCTCGTGGCGCTGAAGCAGCTGCGCAAGCAGCGGATTGCCGACAAGTGGTGGCGGACGTCGCTCAAGAAAAGGTCGAGGTTCTTGAAGCCGAGCTGGCCAAGTCACAGGCCAAAATCCGGCAGATGCGGTTCCTACAGGCCGCCAAGCGGGCGGCCGCGGCGTCGACTTCCGCAGCATCGACCCCGATCGGTTCTGCGCCGACGTCGGCCGCAAGCTCACGGCCACCTTCACCACGGGTTTTGGCGCGGGTGTCTCGGGCTATTGGCCTTGCTGAGCCAGCTGCGGACTCCCCGAACTCATCTGTGCCTCGTCTGCGGTCTGTTGGAGCTGCGGCGACAGCGACGCCAGCGCCGCGGTACGACATCGAGACCGAGTCTGCCACGCTTCACCGCATCTCGCACACTGCCAAGCAGCGTGCGCTTGTGCGGCTGGGCGCGGTGGCTGCGTCGGACACGGGCTCCGGGGCGTCGGCGTCGGCGTCGGCGCCACAAGCTGGGCATGAACTTCTTGTCGAAGCCTATGCCGAGCTTGTGCGGATGTATGCAGAGCAAGAGGCAGTGCTCCGTACGACCGATGACAGGCTGCGCGCGTTTTGCACCTCGGTGGCTAGTGTATCCAAGTGGGCGCCGATCGAGGTTGCGCTGGAGGATGCTGGGGCTGCTGACGCGGCGCCCGAGGTTGTGGCCGCGTCACTGCACGCGGCGTCGCTCTCTCTCCGCGAGCTGGTCCCAGTCTTCCACGCTGCGGCCTCAGGCGCGCCGGACGCGACACGGCTCCTGCTCCGAATCCAGCGGCAGGCCAAGGTCATTCATGAGCTGCAGCGGCGGCTTGGGCCAGAGCTGCATCGTGCACGGGCCCGCGAGTTGGAGCTCACCCACGTTGCAAACCAGGTCCATAACTACCGCGAGCGTGAGGATGGTTACCAGCGTGCAGTGCGCGACCTTCAGTCGCAGATTAATGGTCTCCGCCACGCCCACAAACAGTTGCTGCGTGATCACGCTAAGCTGCGCGCCTTGCACCGCGAGACGCGACTGGCCGCCGAGCGCGATGCCGCCGAGCGTGCCGCCGCCGTCCGCAACCACCGTGCTGCCACCATGGCCGCCACTGAGGCTGCATACCAGGATCGAGTCATGCGGCAGTATGCCGACGCCGAACGGCGCGCAAACGCAGCAAGCCGTGGGCGGCGGCTACCGTCGCGTTCGCCGACGCCGACTCGCTCGCCGTCGCGCCACTCGGAGCGTCGCCAAGCTGAACACCGCTATGCCTCGCCGCTCCCACCACTCCGGCTCTCACGCAGCCCCGAGCCTTTGATCGCGAGTGGGGGCAGTGCCACTCCTAGCCTCGTCTTTCGCGGCTCATCGTCTCCAGATCTTCGCGTCGTTCCCTCCCGGGCGCGGCCACACCCCGGACAGACAGCCCTGCGTTGAATTGGCTCTCCTCAGTGAGCAAATGCCATTGCACGCGCGGGCGGCAACACTCGTCTCCCCAATGTCGTCGCGACGGACCGGAGACAAGAAGAGCTCGTCGGAGAGGAAGCGCGGCCGGGCACGGTCGCGCAAGATTTGCTTTGGTAACACCTATGTCCCCATCCGCAAAATCGGCTCGGGCTCCTTTGGTGACATCTACCTCGGCACCGACCTCAAGTCCGGCGAGGAGGTGGCGATCAAGCTGGTACGCCACTGGTGGGTCGAAAGGGGGTTGTAGCGAGTGGTGGGCGCTTTGCCCGCCGCTGAGGCCTTTCACATTCTGCCGTTGCCCTCGAGGTCTCCCCCTCCTTCCCTCCCCCCCCTCCCCTCCCCCCCTCGCCTCCATGCAATACCCTCCCTCCCTTCTCCCTTCCATATGAACCAAGCCCACACCCATGGTGGCCTCGCTCTCGGCCTGGTTTACCCGCCCTGTCTCGTGGCCGAACATTCATTCGTTTCGGCTGGCGGCAAATTTGGCTGCCGCAGCTGCCGGCTTGCGGCCAAAGCGCGCCCGATTCGCCCCTCGCCCGCTAGACTTTGGTGCAGGGCGTGTCGCATGGCAGAGGGTGCACCCCAGGAGGGTGTTTAAGGTTTGGGTGAGGCTGGGAAGGGAAAGCGGCATGGCAAGGGCGTGTTCGGGCGAGCGGCGGGGTGGTCCCGGTCCCTCTATGGGCAGTCCGTGTGCGGGCCGGGGCTCGTTGCCGTTTTTTTGGAACGGCACTGCACCTTGGAGGGGGGAAGGGGTAGAGAAGGCGGGGCAAGAGCGAGCGGGAGTGGGCAGAGCATGCTGCTGGACCCAGGCGCGAAGAGAGTTTGTGTGAGGGAAACTGATGCGACTGATTTCCGTGTGTTTGTTGGGGAGTAGGAGCCGCGGCGGACGCGGCATCCGCAACTGCAGTCAGAGATGATGCTGTATCGGATTCTGTCTGGCGGGATCGGGATCCCGCACGTGCGGTGGTTCGGGCATGATGGCGACTACAATGTGCTGGTGATGGACTTGCTCGGCCCGTCGCTGGAGGACTTGCACCAGATTTGCGGGCGCAAGTTTTCGCTCAAGACTGTGCTGATGCTGGCGGAGCAGCTGATCACCCGGTTCGAGTACATCCACTCGCGGCACCTCATCCATCGCGACGTCAAGCCGAACAACCTGCTCATGGGGATCGGCAAGCACGCCGGCGAGGTCAACGTCATCGACTTTGGCCTTTCGAAGCGGTACATCGACCCGCGGACGGGCAAGCACATCAAGTACAAGGAAGGCAAGAATCTGACGGGCACAGCACGGTACGCGTCGATCAACACACACATCGGCATCGAGCAGTCGCGGCGTGACGATCTGGAGTCGCTCGGCTACGTCCTGCTGTATCTGCTCCGCGGCTCGCTGCCGTGGCAGGGCCTCAAGGCGGCAAACAAGAAGCAAAAGTATGACAAGATCCGCGACAAGAAGCTTGAGGTCCTTGTCGACGACCTCTGCGCCGGCCTGCCCGAGGAGTTTGTCAAGTACATCACCTACACCCGTTCGCTCCGGTTCGACGAGCGCCCGGACTACGACTACTGTCGCATCATCTTCCGCGACCTCTTCATCCGCGAGGGCTACGCCTACGACTACGTCTACGACTGGACCGTGCTCCATAGCGAGGCCGACGAAGCCAAGCCTGCCTCGTCGTCTGCCGCTCCGCCGGCCACTCCGCCGGCTGCCGCCTCGGGCACAGGCGTCTCCAATGTCGCCCGCAATGGCTCATCAGCCACCCCGGGCGGCTCGGCCCTGCCCAACCAGTCGCCTGGCGGCTCGTCGACCCGCGTCAACACATCCCTGGCCCGCGACCCGCGCTCGGGCTCGTCTCGCGACAAGCGTCGCAAGCGCCGCTCAGACGCCCCGCCCACCAGCTCACCCTCGGCCGCACAGCCGGCTCCACTGCGCTCCTCGGGCTCGGGCTCGCGTCTTCGCGACTCGACTACCCGTCGCTCGTGATGATGCCATCTCTCCCCCCCACCCCCCCCCCCGCTTTGCCACCTCTGCTACCCTTGCCGCGCGTGCCTCCTCGTGGCACATGTCTTGCGTTGTCAGTGAGCTCTGTTGGACCCTCTACAACCATCGCATTAGCAAACACCCTTGTCAAGTCACGCTGTAGTCACGATATCCTGTGACATTCGTGCACGGTCCGGGCTGTCGACGCAGCACTCGTTCCTCCGCCAGCCAAGACTGTACCACCACCTCACACTCCTCCCCCCCCCCCCTCCCCGTCGCCATTCCTACACCTTTCCCTCCCCCGCACATTGCACCACCAAGTATGGGAGCATGGTTCGAAGGTTGGGGCATGGTAGGGAACACCACGCTCCCACCACCCCCCCACCACCACCACTTCCAAACTCGACGACACCTGCGCCGATCGAGGCGCCGTCATGGCTCGACTACACACTGGGCGTTGCGGGGATTATCTCGATATTTGTCGGACTACTGGTTGCCTTTGTGGTGCACAACCATCCTGTGCTCTCGCGGATCAAGACGTTACGGATGATCAAGTACATGGCTATCTGCAACGTGTTTTCCACTGTCCAGTTTCCGCTCGTCATGTCGACGCTGGTAACAAGCTCAGTGGCCTGCCACCTCGAGGCTGTTCAGACGCAGTTTTTTCTCACGGCATGGATCGGGATCCACACTACCATCGGGCTGGACGTTTTTCACCAGATCCGGTCTGCTTCGATTCGATTCTTCTTCTTCAAAGAGTGGATGACGGTGGTCGGCATCCTCACCTGTGCCTTTCTCTCCACTGTCTGGATGGTGCTGCCGTGCGGCGACTCGGTCGGCCCGATCCACGCCCAGTCCCGGCTCTGTTGGATCCAGCCGTCGTCGTGCCGGATTGTGCTGTTTGACATTCCCCTCTCTCTGGCGTACGTGTTTAACCTGTACGTCTTTGTTCTCGCCTTTCGCATGCTCTCGACCAAGCAGCTGGGATGGAACGCGGCGCTGCTCTCGTACGTGGTGTGGTACTGCGGCGGCTTTGCAGTCATCTTTTCGCTCTTTATCGGGCAGGAGATCAGCCTGGCAGCGACCGGGTCAGTCCCGGCGTGGCTGGCGTTGTCGCAGGTGCTGGTGGTCGGCATCCACGGCATTGTCAACGGCACGGTCTTCTTTGTCCTCTGGTCAAACGTCAAGTCGATTCTTGGCGGGCACCGAACGCTGCCAGCATCGATTAAGCTCGGTGATCTGCGGCGGCTGCAAGAGTGGGAGGAGCTGATGAAGCACCTGACTGGGCGGACCTCGTTCTCGCGCAACATGATGTACGCGACTTCAAGCTCGTCGACGCTTTTTGGATCAACGGGTGGCGCGTTGCGGTCGACCGAGTCGAACGCGAGCAAGTTTTCTGTCCCGTTTGCACGGTTGTACGAGACCAAGACGCGGGCGCATCGCGAGGCAGTTGATCTTGTGGAGCGTGAGGGCCAGGACGACTGGCGTGAGTTCTTCTACTTTGAACAGCTCAAGGTGTCGGGCGCAGAGTCTGCGCCGCTCCTTGGCCCGCACCTACTCGACTACGCTGGCGACCTGGCGCTGATCAGCTCTGTTGAACCTCGGTGCCGCGAGGTGATGAACCCATGGCGGTCGCCGCTGCGGTCGACTTACAACTTTCGGCTTGTGGGGGACAAGCTGTACTACTTTCTGACGAGCAGCGACTCGCCGGTGTGCTCTGATCATACACTGGATACACCTGTGGGCTCGGAGTCGCGCGGAGCGGCGGCGGCGATTCTTGCGGCGCGGGCGCAGCTGGCGTCGCCTCAGCGGCGCGAGCCGTCGCTATTCCGGGCCAACGGGCCTGCGGCGAAGCGGACGACCTCGTTTGGGTTTGGCATCTCGTCGTCGGGCGCATCCGACACTGACGACGTGGCGTACGCTGGCTCGATTCCGCTCGAGTACCTGGTCGAGGTCGAGCCCGTCGAGTACTGCGAGCTGCCGAGCTACATGACGCCGTCGACTGTGTCGACGCCGCAGTTCCCGTTTGTTGTGACGGTGTTGGAAGACAAGTCACTGGAGAGCAGCGCAGCGGTGACGATGGACTCGCCGGAGCAGTTGGTCTCGATGACCGAGACGCAGCTGACGGTGCACGAAGCCGAGGATCCGCTGTTTGTCAAGCAGAGCTGGGTACTCGAAGCCGGGAGCGCACGCGAGCGTGAGGTGTGGATGGCACGGATCCGCGAGCACCGCCCCGGCGGAGTGGCGCATGTGGAAGAAATCGACGCGTCAGGCCAGCCGCACCTGCGGCTTGGCACCTCCTCGCTCTACATCTCGCGCACCATCCTCAAGTCGCCGAGCTGGCTGGCGGACGCGGAGCGCGAGCTCGATGCGCTCTTTGCGCGGCTGGAGAACGAGGCGACGACGTTTGTCAACGACCTATTCGGCTTGTTCATGGTGTACAACATGGGGTACATGGTGGAAGAGAACATTTGGTTCCTGGCCACGTCTGCGCTGGACGAGTTGAATCTACTGGGCGCTGTGGAGGACTTTGCCTTTCATCCGGTCAATGGATGGGGCGAGTCAGGCTACGGGCTCTCGACCAATGTCAAGCTCGAGCGGGTCGAGCCTGTGCTTGCGCAGCTCGCGCGTGACGTTCACTTTCTAGCCGGGCTTGGGTGGCAGGACTACGACCTGTCGATTGTGGCCATTTCGGTGCCCAACTGGGGTGCTGTCGATGCCGAGACTCGCGCGGCGCTAGAGGATCGGCTGGCTGCGGCGCGTTTTGTGGGCTCGCCCTCGACAGGTGTCTTCTACGGGCTGCGGATTGTCAACTACCTGCCGGACTGCTCAGCCGGCGAGGGCTCGTGGCTGTGGCGGGCGTCTGCACGATGCGGGCGGGCGCTTGGCGGGCTGGACGACCGCGAATCGGCGCTTGTGGCGGCGACAGGCTACGCGCGGACGTTTATGGACGCGGTGACGCGGCATGTGTTCTCGTCTGAGGCGGCGTACGAGTGGTCGCGGGCGCAGGACCTCTTTGTCTCGTCGCACCACTCCTCGGTGCTGCTGGTGTGGTCGATGTCTGGCGAGCAGTCACTGGCATGCTGCTGGCGGCGATCGCGGCGGGCAGTGGACGAGTCAACGGCATCTTCGGAGCGGACGTTTGACGAGCACTCACCGCTGCTGGGCGGCTCAATCAACGGTGTGAGCGGCGGAGCGCGGCTGCGGGCGCAGACAGACGACAGTGAGCGCGCAGGTACGTTACCAGCGATGGGCGCGTATGCGTGGGAGTCGTTGGAGGAGATTGTGGATGCTGTGATGGTGCGGTCGATTGATGTTTGGTGTCTGGCCGAGGCGTGGCTCCCGTCAGTGACGCTGGTGGTTGTGGCGTGCTGCACGCTTGCGTTTGGCACGGCGTCGATGTACGCGGCGGCGTTTTTTTCAGAGCACATGGAGAAGCTGTTTGGCATTACGGCCAACGACGCGTACTGGGTCAAGATGGCGAGGCTGTCGGGGCGGTGGCTCGGGCTTGTTGCCGGTTATGCTGTGGAGCGGTTCGGGCCGCGGCGAGCGGTGCTTGTCTCGGGAGTGGCGGTCTGGCTCGGGTACATGGGCATGTGGGTCATGTCGTTTTCCAAGGTCACTGCGGTCGTAGCGCCGCTGTGCATGTGCATTCTTGCGGTGGAGCTCGGCTCATATGCCATCCAGCTCTCTGCGCTGTGGACTGTCCTTGTTCTACTCCAGTTCTCGTGGGCATCGTCCGTGGTCGGTTTTGTGCAGGGTGTGCCGGCGCTCGGCGGGGCCTTGCAGGGCCTTGCGCTTTTGAGCATTGACGTCAGCGTCCATGCGATGTTCTTTTGGCTGGCCATGCTCCTCCTCGTCATTTCGTGGGTTGGCGTCCTCCTTCCGATGCAGTTTAACCCTGTGATGCAGATGGAGGCGCGGCTGGCGCGGGTCCGCGGCGTGTCTGCCATGTCGCGGCGGATTTCGGCGTCGTCGCTCTCGCTGGTTCGCGACCGGTCGTACTCGGTCGGGCTCGCGCCAAACCGCGCAGCTGCCGACTACGTGCTGGGTGCCACGCTCGGGGCTGGTCACGGGGTTGGCGGAGTGGCGCATGAGGCCGCGGTGGGCACGATGGCGCTACCGACGTCTGCACGGTTCACATCGCCGTCATGGTTCAAGTTTTCGTCGTCGCCGGTCCTTGCTGTCCGCGATCTTGTGGCGTCGAGTGAGTTCCAGTCGCTGTTCCTGGTTGCCGCCCTCTGCCAGGGCTTTACCGCCGCGGTTGTGTCGTACATTGGCGATATCGAGCGGGCGGCGGGGCGCAAGGCGAACGTGTCGCTGGCGTACGCTCTGTTTGGGCTGGCGCGGTTTGTCGGCGCGTTGTTCGAGGGCAACCTGACGCAAGCGCTCCCGCACGTCCATCACTCGTATTCGGTCATTGTAATCTCGACGCTCATGTCTGTGGCACACCTGCTGCTCTCGTACGCGCACCAGTGGCTGATTGAGGCCGGGCTGGCCGGCACCGGGCTGCTGTACGGTGCGGTCGACGCGCTCATGCCGCTTATGATCCGCGATTGCTTCTCGGTCAACCACTTTCCAATTGTGCTTGCCGGAGTCTCGCTCGGGCAAGCGATTGGGGCCAGCGTTGCTGACGGCGTCAAATGGATTCACCTGCAGTCCGAGTCGTCGACGTGCACCGGCTCGCAATGCTTCCGGCCGATCATTCTGGCGGCCTCGGTCTCGTGCCTTCTCTCTGTCGCGGTCGGTATCGCGATGTGGCGGCGACACCAGCAGTTCCGCACGCGGCGGCACCGGTCCGAGAGAGCTGCGCTGTACACGGCGGCGATCTCGCTGTCGGGCGCGTCGGGGACGGCGGCTCGTTCTACGACGGTGCGTCGTCGGTCGGGCGGTCGCGATTTGAGTCTGCGGCGTCGCTTGCCTCGGGTCTGATGCAGGGCGGCGACTCGTTCTTTGGCTCACCGTCGATTCTGTTCAACGTCAACATGGCTCGCGAGTTCGGCGGCGGCGGGAGCGGGAGCTCGCCGTCACACTACGACTTGTGATGTTCATTGGGCAGGCGGCACAGCGCGGCGATGCGCGGCAGCCGGCGGCGACGCAGGCGCGGTGGCGACGTGGACTGTGGCGAGGGCCACCAGGCTGCAAAACCAGTGCGTGATGTAGTTGGTGCCAAGTGGGGTGCGGGCGACCATGGCCTGGCCAGCCAGAGAAAGCCAGACTGCGGCGGGCCATGCCGGTCGCGTGTGCCAGGTAAGCAGGACGATGCAGGCGCTGAGGATGCGTTCAGCTCCATTGAGAGGAACAATAAAGCCGGTGACTGAAGCGGCAAGGAGTGAGAGGAGGCAAGCCGAGACCACGGTGGTGCAGAGCCGCGGCGCCGGCGAGAGTGCGATGAATGAGATGCTTGCGGCAAGCGCAAAGAGGAGGGCGACCGGGGCCGGAAAAACAAGGGCGAGCGACGGGAGGCCAAGGCATGCAGCAAAGATGGCGAGGACCCGCAGCGGGTGGGCACGGATAGCCATGGTGCCGTATCTGTGAATGTTGGGAATGATCATGGCGAGAGCGACCAGCAAGGGCGTGATGACATTCGGCTTGTTGGAGGCCGCGGCGGGGTGGCGTGAGGCGAGGGGTTGACAGCCTGGGCGGGTGCGGGGTCGGCGGCGATGGGCCGCGGTGACGGGCAAGGCGAGTTAGAGAGTGATGACGAGGGGGAGGGGGAGGGAGACGGGGAGGGCTCAACGGCGACGGGCTCGTCTGGCTCGACGGGCTCGGCGGATGTGGCCAGGACGTCCATGAATGAGATTTCCGATTCGAGGGCAAAGTCAAAGGCTGCTATGGCAGCGTCGTCAGACTCGGCGTCCGAGTCGGAATCGACAGTAATGGCAGAGTCAATGACAGTCGGCGGCGCAATGGGCGCGAGGCTGTGCGGGGAGGCCGTTTCGGCGGGAGGCGCGGGCGGTACGACGGGCTCAGAGTGAGAGAAAAGCGCCGGCCCGATGGGGCCGAGCTCGTGAGCAGAGGTAGACGGTGTGGTGGGTAGCAGTGGGAGAACCGATGGCGATCGCAAGTGCGAAGCCACCGAGTGCTTGCCGGCTGGAGACGCGGCAGGAAAGGCGGCGGGCGAGACCAAGATAGAGGCAATGTCGATGGGGTCGTGCGGCGAAAATGCCATCGTCTCCGAATCCGAGTCAAAGAAGAGAGCGTCGACGGCGGCTGACTCGACTGCCGGATCGACTGCCGGCGGCTCGAGCTGGTTGTCGACAACCAGCGGAGTCATGTCTGTGAGGAGGAGCGAGATCATTGCGGGCGTCCAAGCGTGCAAATCGTTCTCGAGCGTGGGCGGTTCGACCTGGTGGACCGACTGCGGCTGCGGCGGCTGCGGCTGCGGCGGGCGGCTTGCACTCGGGCGGCGACGAAGGCCTGGCTGGTTCGAAGCGGTGGCCAGAGCGGTCGACGTTGCCGGCGGCGGCAGCGGACGATTGGCCGTCGTCGGCTGGCCGCCGTGGTGGCCGTGCGAACGCGGGGGTTCCCGGCTCCGCGGGGCCATGCGAGGAGGACGACGCAGGCCACCACGAGCAGACTGAGCATGACCATGTCGAGTATGGTGTCCCTGGCGGTGTACTTGCCCCTGCCGCTGCCCCTTCCCCTGCCCTCGAGCCCGGCCGAGACCACCACTTTGGGCACCGCCTTGGCCGGTCGGCACGTGCCGGCGGCCAGCCGGAGAGGGGGGGAGGGAGGGGAAGGGAAAGAGTGACCGGGCACCTTTGTTCTTGAGCGGACTGCGCACACGCCGCCCAGGCACAACTCCATTGCCCACAGGGAGGCGGTCCAGTGACCGTGTCGACTCCATGCGCAGGAGGCGATGAGTGTGGATGTCGGTGTGGAAAGGTAGCCAGGTGGGGTGGTGGGGGGTGGGGGGAAGGGGGGAGAGGGGAGGGGGGACGGGGGGCAAAAAAAACGCTGCTTTCGGGCCGCACCACCGCAACAATGTGGACGGACGGGACGGGACACACACATATATTTTTCTCTCTGCAGAAGCGGACTGATGTCATCGTTGTTGTTTGCCCTCAGACGGAGCATCGCCGACGGAGCATCGCCGACGGAGCATCGCCAACGGAGCATCGCCGACGGCGGCCTGAGCTGCTACCACAGAAACACCGCGTGGCTACGGGGTGCGGTGCTTGTCGATGTCGGCCGGCGAGACCTGATTGATGTGGGTGAGGGCGGCCTCGACGGTGACGGCGCAGTACTGGGCTTCCGAGGGGAAGAGTGGGCGAGAGCAAAAGGCGTTGAGAAAGTCGAGGACGGCCCAGGGTGTGGCGAGGTCCGAGTGGACGAGGGCATAGACAACAACGGGAAAGGTGTCGTCGGCGCCAAGAGTGGCGGACGAGTCCGGATCCAAGGTTGGCTGATCGTAGATGGCGCGAGCAAAGGCGACAAGGTTGGCGGCGACGTCTGACGGTACGATGTGGAACGGGAGATCCTCGGCGAGTGCGATGGCGTCTGCGCAGAGCGGCAAGCAGGCGGCAGCAGCGCCGGCGACAAACAGCTCCGAGACACCAAAGTCCTGGGGGGAAGCTTGCGAAGCCATGCGGCCTGCGAGGTAAAGACGGCGTCGCGATCGCTGGTCTGCGCCTCGAGGTAGGCACAGATGGGGCGATGACGCGCGGGATGACGGCGCGTGCAACAAGCATGTGCAAGCGGGCGGCGTCAGCGTCAGCGACGCGGTACATGACGGCGAGGTCGTTGGCGAGGGCGTCGACAAAGCCGACGACAGCTTGTGGGTCGAGAGAAGCGCCGGCGGCGTCGGTTTTGTTGACAAACTTGCGGATGGCGGCGCCTTCGGGCGCAGCGACGTCGAGGATGAGCGAGTTGAAGAGCGACTGCTGGAGCTCGTCTTCGGGAAAGTAGCCGTCAAGTTGCGAGGCGCCTGGCGACTCGGCGAGGATGCCGTGGATGAGCTCGAGGCGGTCGGCACGGGTGTACATGACCACGTGCTTGACTTCGGTGGCGTAGGCGCGGACAAGATCCTTCACCTGGATCTCTTGCCGCTCAATAAAGGCGCGCATGCGGATTACATGGTAGTTGTGGGCGCCGCACAGGTCTGGAATGGGGATGGCGAGTGTCTCGGCCTCGTCGATCGAGAGGGCGGCCATGGACGCGTCGGACCGGGCCAACACCTTGTGGATGACGCCGAGATGCGCAATGCCAAGCCGCCGCTGGAACTGATACAGCTCGCGGAGGAGGCGAAGGACGTGGATGGGCTGAAGGAAGACGTGGCGCGCACGCCGGACCATGCGGGCCTTGGCCGCATCGCGCCAGCGGCTGACCTCGCGGTTGAGGTGCTTGCGAGCTTCATGCTCGCGCTCATTACAGTCGACCACCAGCGCAGCCCGCTTGGCCAGAAAAGCCTTGAGCTTGTCAGCGTACTTGGTCAGCCGCACCGAGGGCGAGGTCCGGTTCGGCCGGCGGAAGAAGACTCGCTTCAGCGACGAGACCGCGCGCGGCTCGGCTGATGTTGCCGACGCTGCCGCGCTGTCCGAGGCCCGCAGCACAGTGCCACGCGACCCGTAGACCGTGGTGAGGACGGCGTTGCGGTCGTCGCCCCACGGTGCAACGCATGCCGCAAACATCTCGCGAAACTCCGGCTCGGCTCGGCTCAGCCGCTGGCCCATTGGCAGCTTCTCCGAGAGCTTCAGCCGCGACGGCATCATCGGCAGAGCCACACCGTCAGGCTCGGACTCGGGCCCGGATGCAGACTCGAGGCCGTCACTTTCGTCGTCGCGCACGCCGGCGGCATGAGCCTCGTCGAGTCCCTGGACCAGTGCCGCCAGCGCCATGGCGTTGTCATCATCGTCCATCCCGCTTCGCTCGTCAGCAAACATGACCGATGTCGAAAGCGCCCGCATTCGGCGGCCCTCGCCCTCGGGCTCCTCCAGCGCCGGGCCTGATCGCACTGCCGCCCACATGGTGGCCCGCTGCCTGGCCTCGCGCAGCTCACGCTCAGTCCGGCGCGACTCGGCCTTGAGCGCCGCCACCTTGCGGCGCAACGTCGACATGTCCGCTGCTGTCATCGATCCTGTGCCATCGGACTCGGTGGTAGCCGGTAGCAACTCCTCCGCCCCAGCCGAGACCACACGCTCCTCATCGGCAGTGCGGCATGCAAGCAAGCTCTCTGCAGCGCGAGCCCGAGCTCTCTGCGCATCCAGCTCCCGTTCCAGAAACTCATACTCACTCCGTGACGACCTTGCACTCCGATGTCTCTCCTCTCTCCCACCTGTTGTTGCGGGAGTCTCGTTACTTGAAGCAGCAACAGCGGTGGCGTCGCCGGTGGTTGCCATGGTGACCGCCTGGCCCACAGCGGATGCGAAAGAGGAGGAGGAGAGGAGAGGAGGGTGGGCGGGTGGGTGGTGGGGGTGGGGGGTGGGGGGGGGGTGGGGGGGGGGGGGGGGGTGGAGTGGTTGTGGCTGTGGTAGTGGTTATGGCTGTGGTTGCCTTCCTTCGTCGACGTGTCACCCCTGCGTCCCCAACTGGGTGACGCAGGGTGCAGAGGCTGGGGCAGGGTGTTTGGATCGGGGAATCATCGGGATGGATATTGATGGAAGGGGGGGGGGGGGGTGGA